TAGTAGGACACCATGAGGTACAGTTGTAGACTTACAAATTTTTGTGCTTGGGTTTCAATTATACAATGATCAAATACCCATCCCTCCACCAGTGCCCATTTCCCACCACCACGGATCCCTGTATCCCTCCCCCCCCCATACCCCCCATCCCACCCTGCCTCTGTGGCAGGGCATTCCCTTTTGTTCTCTCTCTCCATTGGGTGTTGTGGTTTGCAAAAGAGGCAATGGGTGGCAATCGTGTTTAAGACCACCCATTGCCTCTTTTGCAAACTGCAACATGCTGAAAGTATAGTCTACTTTCAGCATGCTTCTCCCATCCTGGGAGGATCCTCCCAGCACCCTTTATTTGGTGCTCCCTTCTCTATCTGAGCTCCCTTTTCCCCTAGCATGTGTCTGGCCTCCAAGTCATGGAGTAAAATTCCTGGTACGAATCTCGGCCATTCTTGGGTGTTAGTCTCCTATTTTGTTACTTTATGTTCCCCAGATGAATGCAATCTTTCTACGTCTATCCCTTTCTTTCTGAGTCATTTCACTTAACATGATACTTTCCATGTAGTACCACTTGTATGTAAATTTCATGACTTCATCGAAAAGGTGATTTTCTAAAAAAATTTCAAAATAACAAAGACAGTATATAAGGAGATGCTTAATGCCATTAGTATAGCCAACAAATAACATACAGTTATCAGTAATGCTTAGTTGGTAGATCAATTAAAAAAAGCAATTAGTGTCTATAGCTGTTAGATTGGAAAGATTTAAAATCTAGGATATGCCAAGTGTGGTGCAGGAAGGAAGGAGAGGGGATGGAACTGCTCTTGTGGGGAGTGCCCGTTGGTGCTGTTATGCTGGGGTGCCCTCTGCCAATATGTAGCTGGGTTTCATATGTAAAAGGAGGCCATGTGACTCAGCAACTTTGCTTGAGCATATACACTGTGAGGAAACTCTCCCATGAAGTGTTCTATGGGGCCATAAAGTGACTTGTTTGGGGGTGCTCACTCTAAAGGGGGTGAAGGCAAGGGTGATATCTAAGCTAGATAACATTGGACAGTCTGCAGCAGTTAGAAGCCATGGATTTGATCTACGCAAGGAAACTTGAGAGCATCTAAAATACACTGTACTAAAAAAGAAACAGATGAGACCTATAATGTGGCCAACTCGGGTTCGATTCCAAGCATCCCATATAGTCCCCTGAGCACTTCCAGGAGTAATTCCTGAGTGCATGAGCCAGGAGTAACCCCTGTGCATGCATCCCCGGATGTGACCCAAAAAGCAAAAAAAAAAAAAAAAAAAAAAGAAAATGTATTCAGTCAAGTTAAGACCTTCGGACACACACCACACACACACACACACACACACACACACACGCATTCTGTGAGAATGCAATGCAGCGTCTGAATGATAGTACCGTGGGTAGGGCACTTAATTTGCACGAGGATGACCAGGTTTGATACCCAGCATCTCATATGGTTCCTGGAGCAACACCAGGAATAACCCTTGAACATTACTGGGTGTGTGTCCCAAAAGGTAAAGGTAAAGGTAAAGGCCCTCCCGTTGATCGTCGATTTGCTCGAGCGGGCCCAGTAACGTCTCCATTGGAGACTTTGTTGTTACTGTGTCTGGCATATCGAATACTCTCGGTAGCTTGCCGGGCTCTCCGAGAGGGGCGGAGGAATCGAACTTGGGTCGGCCATGTTGGCCGCTTGTAAGGCAAACGCCCTACCCGCTATGCTATCGCTCCAGCCCAAAAACAAAAAGAAAAAAAGAAAAAAGAATGCGATGTAAACAAAGGTCATTACATTAAACAAAATTTTGGGAGGGGAAGAGAGTTAGGGATGAAAGGACACACACACACACACACACACACACACACACACACACACAAACCAGCAGTCATAAAACCACTGACTGGCTGTGGGCACCACTCTGTTAAGGGAGAGTGTCAGGGGTGTGGGAGGTGGTGGTTGTTGAGTGATTCATGAGTGACTATGAATAAAGTATAGCTCCTGACCTCATCCACCACTTAGCCAATTCCCTGATGTTATTCTCCAGGGGTGCTCAGGATCCACGAGGCAGGGGAATCATGAGTTTGTCTGACCCATGGAGGAAGGTAGCCTGATTCTACCTGCTTGCAAATTAGTTTCTGTTAATCATTTCTATATTAAATCAAACACTGGATTACCTCTAGGAGGTATGATTTATTTGTTGATCCTAAGTAGGACTTCTATTAAGGCTGATGCTGGATCAGGTATCTCTCCAGGGTCTGTAGCAGTTTATTGGCACAACTTTTTATGTCATAGTTAGTATGTTATGGTAACCTGCCACATTAGCTGTATTCTCAGGAAATCTGTCATACTGGCAGTGGCCTTTATTCTGACTGGTTAGCGCTACCCAAGTACTTGACTCTAAAGCTGAGTTTATGGTTAAATTTTCTGATCATCAGATCCTTTAGCATCAAGGGAGACGTGGTGATAAATTCACAACTTGTACATAGAAGAGACATTTGGCCAGTTATTGTCTTTGTCCTCTTCTAGTTCTATCTACCTCGAGTTACATTAACCTTCTTGGCTGTTTTTTCCTATGGGTCTAAGCCAGGTTTCTTGAACAAACATTTTGTGTCCATTAGTTGCGTGAGGTCCGTTCAGGGTGTTGTTGGATTTTTAGCATCTAGATGCCACTAGATGATAGTGACAACAGTGAGATAACCTAAAATGTCTCCTGGGTGCAAATTTGCTTTGGGTTGAAAGCTGCGTTTGTGAATAATCAATTTGTAACGTAAAAAAATCAGCATTTCTGTGCCAAATCTATTTTAGAAATGTTCCTTTTTTTCCAGGTTACAAAACATAGCATTCCTTTTATTGCTTATGGTAGACTCCCAACCCAATCATTGAACTTTTCTAAGATTTGCAGTCAGAGAGCAAACTCTTATTGCAAACTTTTCAGTTGTGTCTTTTGATCCATTGACCATTTGGAAAAGACTCTCCTAAAGCCAATTAAAAGCCAAAGTAACTGGTCCCATTGGAGGTCATTTTATTTTTGTTTGTTTGGTTTGTTTTGGGGCTTGGCAACCTGTGCTTAGGATGTCTGGGGACCCTCCTGCTGATTCTCAGCCAGTCAGTGCAAGGACCCGAGGATGTGGCACCACTCAGGCTTCGCAGTCCTGGGGACCACCTGGGTCACGCTGGCGGCCCTTGGGGATCTCCATGGAAATCATGCTTTTTCTTTGTCCCCCCCCTTTTTAAATATAGAACTAAAAAAAAGAAAAAGAAAAAAAGCAAACAAAAAATCAATCTTAGAGTCTGATAAGATGAAATGAGGAAAATCCTTGGTTATTACCATGCACACATCACATTGGTAAATGCTTGTTGTTGGGCCAGAGAAACACTATAGTAGGAAGTATATTTATACCTTGCACCTGGTTTTGTTCCCCAACATACCATACATTCCCTCAAGCACTGCCAAGAGTGATCCCTAAATGTAAAACCAGGGACTATGCTCTGATTATTAACAGGTGTGGCCACAAGACGAGAGAGAGAGAGAGAAACAGAGAGAGAGAGAGAGAGAGACAGAGTGAGAGAGAGAGAAAGAGAGAGAGAAAGAGAGAGAGAAAGAGAGAGAGAGGATAATGTTCATAAGTCATGTAGATACTGATTATAATAAGGACAGAAGGATTTGATTTTCACTGGGCTCTTACTATATTTTTACAGTTGTAGGTATTATTACTGGGGCTGGAGCGATAGCACAGCGGGTAGGGCATTTGCCTTGCAAGCGGCCAACATGGCCACCTGAGTTCGATTCCTTCACCCCTCTCGGAGAGCCCAGCAAGCTACCAAGAGTATCTTGCCCTCATGGCAAAGCCTGGAAAGCTACCTGTGACATATTCGATATGCCAAACACAGTAATAATTGTCACAATGGAGACGTTACTGGGCCCGCTTGAGCAAATTGATGAACAATGGGAGCACAGTGACAGTGACAGTTATTATTCCTAACTGGCATAAGACCAGGTGGAGGGAAATTTGATGCCTTCAGAGGCCCTCTAACTTTGAACCAAGGGGGTGGGGGTTAAATCTAGATTTATAGCCAAGAGAATGAAAGCATCTCTGTCAATTTCCAGAGGGGAGTGATATAATCACTGGGTTAGGGCAGCAATTCATTGCTCTGGGGATAAGGCTTGGGACATTGTAGGATGTGAAGAAATGATGAAAAAGTATGGAGATAAAAATGTGGGGGCATCAGGAGCTACAGGAAACAGGGTAAATAGGAGGAGGCCGGAGAAGAAATGGGGGTATTAGGATGTAGGCATATAAGGGGAGGCTGACAAGGAATGACTAATGTGCAAAGGGGGCATCCTTGGGCAGGAAAATAGTATAGCACACTTTCCTTGTCCATTTTTAATCTCTTGGCATCCCAGATCATATGGGATCCCATATCATATGGGTCCCCAAGCATCATCAGACTGGGAGAAATTCCTGATCAGAACCAGGAGGAATCCTTGAGCATTGCTGGGTGTGCACCCCTTCTCCCCCAAGACCCCCCCGCAAAAAAAAAGAAAGAAAAGAAGAGAGGGCATCCCAGGCTACTGCATTTTCATGTAAACTCCCTCTGCTCATGTGGCCTGAGGTAGCAAAGGTACATCCATTTCATGGGCAAAAACATGAGATCCATTTAAGCTCATTTACCTTCATAGGGAATTTCCACACTGGTTTGGAACTCTCCTTCCCTCATCCCACCTTGGGTCAGCAGGTGCCTAGAGAGTAGATTTTCTGGAGAAAAGAAACTAGTGAGGGGTGGGGGAACCCAACATGGAAAAGGAGGATATGTATATTTGAAAGGTGATGGTGGTACCCAGAAGACAAGTTAAAGGCGAAAGCCTTTCCCACAAAGTGTGAAGTGAAGAGTTTAAACCCCTGCTGCTCCCTTCCCTACATGCCGAGCAGAATCCAGCAGCCCCACCAACTGCGACTCCCCAGTGAGGAAAAAAACACAAGCAGATGGTAAATGGCACATTTCTTTATTCCATTTAAAGTAAATTTTTCAAGCGCTTAGCTGAACTGAGCTGAAAGTGGACGCCTGGAGCTCTAGAGGTGATGAACAGAAAAGTCGAGGGGGGATTAAAGAAGCAGGGAGAGAGCAGCCTTCTTTACTTTGCAGGCGAGGTGGGCAGTCATCCCTAAATTCTTGGATGACAGAGACGTTCATGGGCTTTGTCTTTACTGACCTGTGGATGCCGGAATCAGGGTGGTTATCACTGGGAGGCAGGGAGAGGACAGAGGCAATCAGGCACTGTGTCTGCACTTGCTGGTTTGTGTTTTAGTCGAGGCCGAGCAGAAGCAGAGCCTGTTCTACACTGGATAAGTCAACAAGACTTGGTTCCTGTGCCACATGACCATTCAACAGCATGTAGAAGCTTCCAGAGCTCAAAGGATAATCTTCTAGGTGGTCAGTGACATCCAGCGACACCTGAAAAGAAATAATTTTGCTTTTGTAATTTTGTTCTGGGTCAGGCCAAACCTCATTTTCCAATGATGGGAAATTTCTTCGCCTGTCTGGGAAGCTGGTTGCTTTAGGAAGTTAGTTGCTTAAACTTTATAGCTGAATCCAATCATGTCATTCAGTTTGCTGAGCAAAGAGGAACTCGAAGACTGCTCCCAGATTTCGGTGAAATACAGGGGAAATGAAATAATTCTTTGGATAAAGATATATAAGGGATGAGTGGAGGCATCATACATGAATGTTTTCTGGTCCTGCACAAAATACTATTCTATTTGTGTTTAATTCATCACCTCATATTTAGTCACAAAAATGTATTTTATTTCAAAAGCTGCTAAGAAGAAAATGACGTGAATTTGAATAACAAAACCAAGGAGACTAGTGGAACTTACGTTGAAAACCCTGGAAAGTAGCACTAAGAAGCTAGTGACTGAGAAGTTTCAGGTTCCTGCTGTAGCAGTACTATATTGTGGTTGATTCCATAGTCTGAACGAATGCCCACAGAGTCTCAGGGCCTTCTCAGGAACTCCCATTATTGTCAACATAGAGAACCACTAATGCAGAGAATTTCTCCTGATGTTATTTCTTTCCAGTCCTTGGAGGAAAGCCAATTTCATTGAAAAAAAACATGTCATTACTGTCACACAGTTGATCTGGTTGGATACCATGTTTTGTTTGTTTTAAAGTGTTAATTGTAGGGGCTGGAGCAATAGCACAGCGGATAGGGCATTTGCTTTGCACGTTGCCAACCCGGGTTTGATTCCCATATCGTCCCCTGAGCACTGCCAGGAGTAACTCCTGAGTGAAGAGCCAGGAGTAACCCTTGTGCATTGCTAGGTGTGACCCAAAAAGCAAAAAAAAAAAAAAGTGAGTCTTTCAGGGGCTGGAGAGATAACACAGCAGGTAGATGGGGCATTTGCCTTGCACGCGGCTGACCTGGGTTCAATTCCCAGCATCCCGTATGGTCCCTTGAGCAACACCAGGAGTAATTCCTGAGTGCATGAGCCAGGAATAACCCCTGTGCATCGCTCGGTGTGACCCAAAAAGCCTCCCCTCCCCCCCAAAAAAGAAGAAAAAAGCGTTAATTGTATGTAATCTTGCCCATCAGGAGGAACCAAGGAGGAGAAAAGTCCTGAAATTTTTCTTCTGTCAGTAGACAAATGAGGGGACCATTTTAGCATTGGAGCAGTGTCCTTTTGTATGCATGCATTCAAGAAAGAGAGATAGCTTCTAGGGGATGGAGCACATGCTTCCTATGCGGAAGTGAGGGTTCAATTGCCTGATTCAATTGCTTTGCATGGTCCCTTGAAACCCTGAACACTGTATGGTATGGCCCCCAAACAAAAAACAAAAATGTGACAAGTTGACTGAAGCAAGAAGAACCAAAGAGCCTTCTAGATGAGAAAGACCCAGGCATTGCCCCTTTGGGGTCTCCCTTGGAACTCTGGGAAAACTGTTGGCCAATCTGCTGACCTTTTGGACACAGCACAGGAGGAGGAAGCACACTTGATTTGAGTTCAGGCTCTTAAGTCAGATAAACTTGGGTTTGACTCTGAACTCTGTTACTATCTGGGTATATGCTTTTGTTCAGTTTACTTTCCCAAAGCCTCTGTTTTCTTCATTTTCAAATGGAGACAATAATATACAAATGCATAGTCTTCCTGTGAGGATGGGTGAGATCCACATGAATGGTACATGATGGAATACTACGAGCCCTCAAAAGGAGGTGGTTATTATTTTATTTCTTAAGCCATAATGTCTTTTCTATTACCTCTTCTTTATTGATGATGTCCTGTGCCTTGTCTTCGAGGTCACTGATTCAATTTTTGGCTTTTTCCATTCTGCGCTGAAACCTGCTATTGTATTCTTTACTCCTTCATTTCTGTTTGAAAGGATTCTTTAATCTTTTCCACCAATCTTTTTTTCCATTTTACTGAATCACTCTTCCAACAATCTCCTCAGTTCAGTGAACTTGAGAGGACTGTGATTCAATCCTCGGGCAGTGTGGAAGGTTCTGATGTACTTGAGGACTTACCTGAATTTCTGTCCCCATTTGTTGAAGCAGCTGAATTCCTTCCATTTCTTTCAGTAATCCTGGAAGTTTGTGGGTGCTAAGGCGGGAAGGGTGGGTTCCAGGTAGTCTGAGCAGTGATCTAGCACTCCTGTTCTCTACTGATTCCTGGCAGTCACAACTGCCTTATAAGGATTTCTTGCAGGCCTGTGGGGGTCAGAGCTAGGTCCCAGCTCTAACCAAGTGTTCCAGGAGTTGGGGGTAGAGATTGGGTGAAATTAGGGGTTGGAAGCACAATGAAATTTTGGCAGATACTGGGGGACTAGTGCTGGGCTGGCTGGGCAGGACCAAGAAGACCGTTTACCTGTGATGGGAAGCAAAGCAAAGCATCTCTTAAATCATATGGAGTTAAGCTTCATCATATGACAGAAACAGTTAAAGCATGGCTTCCAAACACACCTGGGAGTTCCCAACAAAGAGTCACTTCCAAGAGCTTCTTGGAGGGGACTGGTGAATGCCCTCTCCCTATCATCATCCATCCTGCGCCCCCTAAACTTCCCAGTAACAACGCCCTACCTCATCCAAAACAGCCTGGCAGCATTCCGAAACTGGTTCCCTGTTGTCATTCTTTGGTTTCATAGCATCTGGTTATGCAAGTTGCGTGTTCTCTTAGCTTCAGTTTCATTTGGTGTTAAGACCCATGATCACCAGGATGCCAAAGGCATGTAGGTACCATTCCAGAGAGAAGTCGGAAATCATCAAGTTGAAATTTGATGGCTCTGGCACTTTTCATCAAGGTCTCATATTTTGAAAACCAAGTAAGCGATGAAGGTGACAAGAGAAAATAGAACCTGAAAGGTGGGACAGATCAGAGTCACTAGAGAAAAACCAGACTGGGACAACAAGGAGAATTAAGGATGGGAGGATAAAGGGAGAAGAGCAAAAATGAAGTCCTGAAAGGGAAAAAAAGAAATTGAAACAGATGAAGTCCATTGCTGCTGCTGAAGCTAAAGGATTAGGAATTAATAATAGTGATAGAAAGCAGGAGAAAGATGGTAGACAGTCTCAAACAGCTGTAATGAGGAAGTGGCTCACGAGGCATTAGATAATCCATCTTCCTGTTTCTATGGTTGAAGAAAAGAAAAAAAAACCAAACAGGAAAGAAACAGGGAATCCTTTGTCTCCCCATAGGTAAAACAAAGGAATTAAACTATGATCTATAAGGCCTTTTTCACCCTTTACAAAGTTAACAATCTATGAATATCTATTTTTTATAAGATTCCTTATTTGGGTAAGATAGGCGCATGTGGTTGATATAATCCCATGTCAACCACTTTGGGATGGGTGACGTGAGTGTTTTATTTTCTTAGTTCAGAAAGTCAGGATCATAATGCCCTTCGAAGTTTAAGTAGCTTAGGTAGTGTGATCATTGGGGAAAAATAGTGACCAGCACTCTGGGATGTTCTGGAACCAATGCTGGACTTTGGGGGGAAGTAAGACTCTAGGCTAGGACAAGGTCCTAGCACTTCTTGGCTGTCCCTTAGGAGATTCCTCAGTGTGCTCATTGTAGGACTCTATGATATCTGTTTCCTTGGTGTCCAGGTCTTCCTCTAGGTACAGAACGTCATCGAGGGCAGGAGAGTCATTCACAAAGCTAGTCCCAGCTATCTCTGAGGAAGTCTCTGGGTCGAGTAAGAGAGTCGGCTCAGAGCTCACAGGGTCGGGACCCAGCCCTGCCAGGGAGGTCTGGCTAGACTCCAGGAAGCCGGGAAGGCTCCACCTTTTGGGGAACATGTCATTCTCATCCAGGTATTCATCCGTGCCGAAGCTGAGGGCATTTCTCTCAGCTTGGCAGGGCACAGTGTGGGAACCGAGGCTCTGAGGAGGGGGCTCCTCGGCAGGCAGCGGGCTTAACTCCATCAGGTCCTGCTGCGGGCCCGTCCTGCTCGGCTGGACCCCAGTGAACACCAAGCTCTGCAGAGAGGCGCTGGAGTCACACAGGTGCTCCTCCGCGGCGGTGATGAGCACCTGGGGCACCCGCGGCATCTTGGTGGGGGAGGCCCGCAGGCTGGACTGCTGGCTCAGGCTCTGGAGCGTGCTGGTGCGGCTGGTCTCCCGGATCAGGGAGAGCTCTCCCAGGCTGGAGTGCAGCTTGGGGCTCCCCTCCCGGGCGCGGCTTTGCTTCCTGGACGCCTGCGGCCGGTAGGGGCTCCTCGCGGGCACGTCCAGCAGGTCCCGGGTGGGGCTGAGGTCCACGGAGGGGAAGAAGACGGAGCTGTCGCTGGTCTGTCGCCCGTAGGGCCGCCTCCGCGGGCTGGAGGGGTTCTCACTGGTGCTCAGGAACCTCTTGACTTTTCGAATCACGGAGCGGTGAGGGCCGTGCTTCTCGATCCCCCACAGCCAGTCCTCGGCGGGCGCGTAGGACGCCGACAGCCTGAAACGCACAAGGACACAGAGGGCTGAGCGCAGGCGGCTCCTGGCCCACCTCCGGGGTGGGGGAGAGGGTCGGTGGCGGGAAGTGGACAGGGTGTGTCCAGGGGACTTTAAAATACATGAGCAGGACTTCCCAAAAGGTTTTTTTTTTTTTTTTTTTAATGCTTTTTGGGTCATACCCGGCGATGCACAGGGGTTAATCCTGGCTCATGCACTCAGGAATTATTCCTGGCAGTGGTTGGGGGACCATATGGGATGCTGGCAATGGAACCCGGGTCGGCTGCGTGCAAGGCAAACGCCCTCCCCTATGTGCTATCACTCCAGGCCCGACTTCCCAAAACTTTGTTGGCCCAGTTTGTTTGCTAAGTACCCTCTAAAACTTTTTCTTGGGGCTGGAGCGATAGTGGGTAGGGCGTTTGCCTTGCACGCGGCCGACCTGGGTTTGATTCCCAGCATCCCAAGTGGTCCCCCGAGCACCACCAACTCCGGGTGTGATGCAAAACAAAACAAAACAAAACAACTTTTTCTCGGGGCCAGGGCGATAGTACAGCGGGTAGGGCATTTGCCTTGCGCGTGGCTAACTGCCGACCGTTCCTCGGCATCCCATCTGATCCCCTGAGCACCTCCAGGAGTGATTCCTAAGTGCAGGGCCAGGATTAAGGCCTGAGCATCGCCCTGAGCATCACTGGGTGTGAACTCCAAACAAAATCCAAACCAAAACAAAAACCCAACCCTTTTCTTGCTTGTATTTTGTTTGGATTAAAAAAAATTCAATTAATAACTGTGTTAGAACACAACAGACATTTCAGGAGTGCAGCATTGAAAACCAACCCACAGATAAACTACATTAAGTTTCCCACTGGGGCAAAACAGGTTAAGATGGTGCTTAGCACATGGCAGTGGTTCAAACCAGGGCTACAGTGCTGCATATGTTCCCCTGAGCACAGCCAAGAATAGCCCCTGAGAACCACTGGACTCACCCCTCCACCCCAAAATAAAAGGCTATCACTAAAAGTTCCATTCTGTCTATCATAATAATACAATTGACTTCTTAGAGTTGAGATGCCAAAAGATATTTGTTTCTATGGAATATAGCTATTACTTACTGTACTAAACATGATAACCAAGAGCTATTAAAATCAGACGTCCAAAAATCAGCAAAAGTCCGTTAGCTTAAATGATGATGTCACCATAGAGAAACATTTCACTGTCTACCATATTTCACAGCACAATTGTCTCACCTTATTTTTACAGAGATGCTGGCATGATCAAACAAAACCTTCATGTAATGGTTGCACCTCACTTTTCTGCAGTGAAATTTTGCATGGAATTTGTGATAATTATGTGGTGAAACGTGGTACTCATGAAAAAGAATGAGAGTGAAAAGGGAACTAACACATTTTCTGTTCCTAGGAAAATAGTTTTCACTTTGATGGTTGGACTTTGGGGTACTGGACTTGGACATTGAGAGAGAGAGAGAGAGAGAGAGAGAGAGAGAGAGAGAGATAGTAACCAAATGTGTGTGTATAGACACACATATATAGTTTTTTCTTTCTCCCTTATTACAGTTAAACTAAGGCTATGTTTTGCATCTCTAACTGATGCCTATCCCTTAACAATGGCTCAGAACTATATTAAGATAAGGCACATAACAGTTAACTTTTTGATATATCAACTCCATGCATTCCTTCATTTAATTTTAACGGTAATTATGATTGAATTTGTTATTTTTATTTTACAAATGAAGAATGTAAGCCCCAAGGAAGCTTCATTAAGGCTCATAGAGCAAGTAAGGCCCATTTCCAGAAGCCTAACTCAAACACCTTTATTCTTTTTTTAAAAAAAATTATTTATTTATTTATTTATTAGTGAAACACCATGAGGTACAGTTATAGACTTATAAATTTTTGTGCTTGGGTTTCAGTTATACAATGATCAAGTACCCATCCCTCCACCAGTGCCCATCCTCCACCACCACAAGTCCCAGCATTCCTCCCACACCCCATTTCCCCCCATCCCACCCTGCCTCTGTGGCAGGGCATTCCCCCTTGTTCTCTCTCTCTTCTTTTGGGTACTGCAAACACCTTTATCACCTTTATTCTTTTTTTTTTTAATTAATGGGAAGTCAAGTGATCAAGTGATTTGGTAAGAGAGCAATTAGGCAATGTTGACTAGCTTGGCAAAAAATATTTTATCTGCACTTTTCCTAAGCCAAATGCCAGTTTTCTACTAAAAACAGACCCTGTTTTCTCCAGGTCCAAGAGTTAAAAAAATTGCTGCTTATGGTCTGAATCTGGCCAACAGACATATTTTTGGGGGCTTACAGCTATTTCTTTTTTTTATTATTAGTGAAACACCATGAGGTACAGTTGTAGATTTACAATTTTTTGTTCTTGGGTTTCGATTATACAATAATCAAATACCTATCCCTCCACCAGTGCCCATTTTCCACCACCATGGATAATATCCCTCACAGCCCATCCCCCTCATCCCACCCTGCCTCTGTGGCAGGACAATCCCTTGAAACACCTTTATTCTTAATCCCTCTGTGGAAACTGCTGTGATGAACTGGAGTGGGAGAGCAAGAAAAGACAATTGAGGAAATTTGAAAACACTTAGCATGAAGACTCTGCCTTTCTTCACTCAGGGTTCAGGATGGAGAAGGATGGGCTTGTCCAAAGAGGACTTTTGTTATGTAGCATGTTTTTCAACTGGATCCCACTCTTTTCAAGATGGACTTGTATAGATTTGCAATTGTTAAGAATTTTTTCTCAGGGCTGGAGCAATGGCACAGCTGGTAGGGCACTTGCCTTGCATGGGTTTGATTCCCAGCATCCCATATGGTCCCCTGAGCACTGTCAGGGGTAATTCCTGAGTGCAGAGCCAGGAGTAACCCCTGTGCATCGCCAGGTGTGACCCAAAAAGCAGAAAAAATTTATTTTTCTCTCGAGGGACTGGAGTGATAGTACATCAGGCAGGGTGTTTGCCTTGCACACAGCTGATCTTGGTTCAATCCCCAACATTCCCTATGGCCCCCCGAGCAATGCCAGGAGTAATTCCTGAGTGTAGTGCCAGGAGTAATTAACCTCTGAGCATTGCTCGATGTGACCTCAAAAGACAAAAAAAAAAAAAAAGAATTTTTCCTTGAGTTTTTAACATTTAAGACACAAAACAGATAATTTTGTCATTTTAAATTTTCTCCTTCAAAACTAAAATGAAAAGGATGACTGAGATAATGACAGGAAGCAGAAAGGAGCAGACAGAGAGATACAGGAGAAGAGCCAAAAGGATCTGGGTCTATCGGTTATATAAAGGAGTGGTAAAGCTATCTAGGGTTGGAGCGATAGCACAGCGGTAGGGCGTTTGCCTTGCACGCAGCCAACATGGCTGACCCAAGTTCGATTCCTCCGCCCCTTTCGGAGAGCCCGGCAAGCTACCGAGAGTATCTCGCCCGCACGGCAGAGCCTGGCAAGCTCCCTGTGACGTATTCGATGTGCAAACACAGTAACAACAAAGTCTCCAATGGAGATGTTACTGGGCCTGCTCGAGCAAATCGATGAACAACGGGAGGGCCTTTACTTTTAAAGCTATATATCCAAACTATAGATCAACAACAACAACTATATATCAACAACAGTGAAAACTTCAATAGTCAAGCTACAATAGTCAATCCGCCCACCCTGCCAAATGCGCTGAAGCTTGAGTGATAGTACCGGGGAGGGTACCGCCTTGCAAATGGCTGACGTGGGTTTGATCCCCGGCATCCCACATGGTCTTGAGGCTACCAGTAGTGATGTGTGAGTAGTGATGTGCAGAGCCAGGAGTAAGTCCTGAGCACCTATTATGTGACCCAAAAACCAAAAACCAAATAAAAAACGTGCTTTTTAAGATGGCAGGCTGGAGTATTGGGTGGATGGAAACCTGGAAACCCTGGTGAAGAGAAGAAGATTGTGTGGGAGGAATTAGTACTGAAGCATAGTATATCTGGAACCCAAATATTAATAATAGTGTTTTATTTATTATTTTTTAATTTTTAAAAAATTATTTCTCCTGTAGACTTTTTTTTTTCTTTTTAGGTCACACCCGGTGATGCACAGGGGTTACTCCTGGCTTTGCACTCAGGAACTACTCCTGGCAGTGCTCGGGAGACCTTATGGGATGCTGGGAATTGAATCCCGATCAGCTGTGTGCAAGGCAAACTCCCTACCCGCTGTGCTGTTGCTCCAGCCCCTCCCTTAGAATTTTTAGAAACAAGGTGGTTTACAAAGTTGTTCATAATAATTTGTTACAGGCATTCAATATTCCAACATCAATCCCACCAGAATAATGGTGTTTTAATAACTTATGAATGAATAAAAAGGACATAAAGGTACTGGATAATGGGTGGTTAAGCATACTCCTGACTCAAATGATGTGACCAACTCCCATCTCTGTGGATTTAGTCTCAGCAATATTCTGAGACAAGCCACTTTGAGCCTGCTCTTGTGCCATCAAGGCTTCTCCTGCTGGTTCTGTGAGCAACACAACCAGACCTCCCTGGCACGCATGATGACACTGCTGCTGACAAGATGCTCGAACCATGCCAGCTCCCTTTCATGGGACATAAAGGAAAGAGCTGGACAGCACAGCGCTGCTGTGATGGGAAAGGATAAAGTGAGCAGTCGAAGAAAATAGCATTCTTCTGTGTTTATGAATAAAAGATAAAAGATTGAGTGATTAACTTGCTAACTGCCCCGGGCTGGCATCTGATTACAACCTCGTGCTGTTATTCTGACGCTGGGCAGTGTCCCTGGCTACCAGATAGCTCCCCGGCTCGTTGCGGGCTCAGGTTTGGTTACAGTGACTTGAGAAATGCAGACTCATGCTTCAGTGGCCTTGGTGACCCTGGTCCTTGGGTTTCACTAGACCAGATCTCCAGTGAGAGCTCAGGTGTCCAGAGAGTTAGGGAGGACAGCAGAGGAGAACCAGGAGCAGCTGTCACTGGCACCACAGCCCATGCGA